AACCTCTGTGGACAGAAATCTCAGCTTCACTCAACGAAGGAGTGCAGCCGTCTCCACCATGTCCTACTATGAGGTAGGGAGGTGTCATCTAATCATGCACAGAAACTTTAAATGTGTTCACAAATATATGATTGCCTTCTCTCTTCTCATCATTTATCACCTGTCTCTAGCATATCGTCTTTGAGGATTACTACAATGACACCGGCTCTGGCTCTGGCTCTGGGGAACTTGGAGTGGATCTGGAGGAGCCCTGTGGTGTGGAGCACATGACAACTACTGAGCTTCAGCAAGTCTTCTTGCCTGTCATTTATGCCCTTATCTTCATTCTGGGCATCACCGGAAACGGCTTGGTTGTCGTAGTCCTAGGCTGCCAACGCAGGTGAGGGGATGGGAAACTGCTGGTTGAAGCTTTGACTTCGAAGCATTGCTGGGTGCGGGGGAAGAGCATGAAAGTGATCAGATTTTTTGTGTCTCCAGGTCGAAATGCAGCCTCACAGACTGGTACCGCCTGCATCTCTCTGCTGCGGATCTCCTCTTCGTTCTGGCTCTGCCGTTCTGGGCGGTGGATGCAGCCTTGGCTGACTGGCGTTTCGGAGCTGCCACCTGCATTGGAGTGCATGTCATCTACACGGTCAACCTGTACGGCAGCGTGCTCATCCTGGCATTCATCAGCCTGGACCGCTACCTTGCGGTGGTCCGAGCCACGGACACCAACACTAGTGGGCTGAGGCAGCTGCTGGCTCACAAACTGGTGTATGTAGGTGAGTATCAAAAGGCTTGCTCTTCCTGCTGTTAGTCTTCTTTTCTCCACACAGTCCCTCACTTGTCTTTTTTAATCTTCTTCCTCCCTGCAGGTGCCTGGTTGCCCGCTGGCCTGCTGGCAGTGCCAGATTTGATATTTGCCCGCACTCAGGAAGGAGGAGAGGGGTCAACTCTGTGCCAGAGATTCTACCCAGAAGAAAATGCTCCTCTCTGGGTTGCAGTCTTCCACCTCCAGCTCGTCCTGGTGGGTCTGTTGATCCCTGGGCTGGTGCTCCTGGTGTGTTACTGCGTCATTGTCACCAGGCTGACCCGTGGCCCACTGGGGGGCCAGAGGCAGAAGCGACGGGCGGTCAGGACTACCATCGCGCTGGTGCTCTGCTTCTTCGTGTGTTGGCTCCCTTATGGAGCGGGCATTTCTGTGGACGCTCTGCTGCGGTTGGAAGTCCTGCCCCGCAGCTGCAGGCTGGAAGCTGCTTTAGGCGTGTGGCTGTCGGTAGCTGAGCCCATGGCGTTCGCTCACTGTTGCCTGAACCCACTGCTGTACGCCTTCCTCGGGGCCGGGTTCAAGAATTCGGCCCGCAGAGCTCTCACTCTGAACCG